ACATTAAATTGGTAGCCTTGCAGTTTTGCTGGTATTTCTCGTAATCATCGTCTGTCCACTTGCTTCGATCTTCCTTGAGCTCGAAAGGGCCATCGATGACCCGATTCCAGATTTTTGGATCGGTGGAGCCGATAAACAATTCCATGCGATTCTTCCAGTAACCGTAGTTTACACCTTCGAACCTCGGAGGTCGATTCTGTGAGAACCCATCGGCCAGGTACAACACCGCACTCTTTCCCGAACCAAGTGTCATTTTCGTTGCTCCAGAGATCGCTAGACCTTATTCCACGGAGACCAGGCTCTGATACCACGTGTTGGTGCGTCGAGCGAAAGATGATCAGGCGAAGTCTGCAGTTTTCCGGCCTTTTGTTTCTTCAAATTCTGCTCCTGCAAAAAACCCCTCTTCAACTTTTCTGCCGAGAACAAGTGAGAAATAACAGCCAATGTATTGTTTGAATTGATCGAAAATGCAACAGTGATGCTTTGCTTCTCGTGTTTGAGTCGCGAATCAAATCACTCGAACTGGGCTTATGAGATTTGGGCCCAACTAGCTTACCCTTCGTTTAAGAAAATCCCAGATCACTAATATGATGGTAACTTTCTTGCAAAGCCCACCACTTTAAACTTCAGCCAAACTCACCGTATCACTAACACCTCCTGCTTATAGATTGCTTGATTCTTGAGATCAAAACTTCCCCTGCATTTTAACACATAAGAACATACCAAGAACGAAACCAAAAACAGAGCAAGAACACCAAAATCGCAGAGAATTAATAAATGACACCACACACGAATTTTTACGTGGTTTCCAGTGTTGAGAGAATAAGGATCTCAACACTAACTATTCCACGGTTCGAGTATCACGTTGTGTGATCTCAGACGATGCACTAAGGATGATTCGATGAAGCTCCCACAGTTACAAAAACTCTCAAGTACCCAGTCGATTAGCTCCCCGCTGAATCGACGAAATTAACCTATCAACTACCCAGCTGATAGAACCTTGGTATTTCCCAATACCTATACCCAGAAATCTCCCCGACTCCTGTGCCGACTTTTCACTCAAAATCTTTCTCACACACCTTAGCACTCTGATTTTGATTCACCCAAAAAGTCTGCCTGATACAGCACCTCGACTCTTCCTTTTATACTGTGTACTGATCGCTTGCTCAAGCTTCTTTACTCATTTTATTTTGCTTGATTGATTCTTGGTTGGTGAATTGATCTTCTTTCCTTCTTCTGTTGAGATGACCGTTGTCTCAATCTTTTATTTCCATTTGTGCCTTCTTACGGCTGGAGCTGGCTGTACATGTCTGCGAGACCAACTTGGGTTTGCAGCTCCTCCAACATGCTTTGTTCATTGACATGCTGCTCCCAACAACCCGACTATCGCTGATGCTCTTTTCTACTGACGGAGTTGACTGCTCCTTCTGCTGGCGGAAGAAGAACGAAGAAAAGGCCACGATTGCTCCTTCTGTTGGTGCCCAACAAGAGGAAGAAGGACACAAAGAAAAAGAAGGAGGAGGAAGGGGAGGAGGAGGAGGAAGAAGCACTCGACCAGAGGTGTCCCCGGATTTTTTTAATTACTATTTGCAGGCGTCGGACGGGTTGAAGTGGCCGGATTTTTTTAATTACTATTTGCAGGTGTAGTAGGGGACTGGTACACGGTCAGGAGCCACATCATGATCATTATCTGAATCTGAATCTGGTGCTGAATCATCAGCACCTTCAAGAGGGTCTGAGCTGTCTGCACTGACGTTGTTCTCTCCTTCTTCATCAGAGGGGTCGCTGACTGGTGCTGGTGTGGCAGCCTCCATCGGATCCTGCTCATAAAAGGCACCTTCATCAGCTCCATAATGGTAGTTGTGAAAACTACCGCTGCCTGAATGGAAGTTGTACTGGGCTTGGTTGGGGACGTCCGGTTGAACTTCTTCTTCATATGACGAGAAAGATTGATGATGGCCTGCACCTTGCCCTCCATCTTGGTACTGAAAATAGGAATGAGGATCATGGTAACTTTGGTAGGGATGATCGTCATATAATTCACCTCCACCATGGATACCAGATGTTTGACCGTGTCCAGAATGACCTCCAACACCAACGGCTGGCTCGGTGTAAACGAACATCTCGGATTTGGCCAATTTGTTGGACCTCAAGAATTCGAGCATGGAATCTACGTCATCTTGAGTGGTTATGGTATATTCCTCATGCCACAATGACCCAGTTGCTCTGTTTGGGTATCGGTACACCATACGATCTATCCTCCTCGTGCCATCCATGCAAGTAACGTCAGTGTATATTTGATGGAGGTCTTCAAGCTTCGGTCTGGTACCGACCGTTATTTTCTGAAAATTGCCACCGACGTAGGTGGCCCCCTTTCCGGTCTCTTCCGTGTAACCATTCCACCGTAAGCCAAGCGTTAACTGACGGAATGCCATCTGCACACAAACAAACCGTAGTTTAGTTAATATCATAAAAATCACAAATCACAAATAACAATAAAAAGTAACACAAAATAAAGTTACGAGTTAATGTTAATGGCATAAAAAGTAACACAAAATAAACTTACGAGTTAATGTTAATGGCATAAAAAGTAACACAAAATAAAGTTACGAGTTAATGTTAATGGCATAAAAAGTAACACAAAATAAAGTTACGAGTTAATGTTAATGGCATAAAAAGTAACACAAAATAAACTTACGAGTTAATCTTAATGGCATAAAAAGTAACACAAAATAAACTTACGAGTTAATCTTAATGGCAAACACACTAAATAAATATAGATATACAACAGAAAAATGAAAGAGAGAATGAGAGGTGTGAAGAGTAGAGGTTTTCCGGCAAGTCTTATATAGGGAAAAAAATGATGAAAACCGCACCTCTAGGGTGCGGTTTTAGTCTGCCATGCAGGCCTACGTCAATAATTCTCTGCATGTCTGCATGGCTGTGTCGGAAAATTATTGACACGTAGACCGCACTTGGGGGGTGCGGTCTACATGGCCAAACCGCACCTTAGCAATGCGGTTTATTCTTGGAGGAATAAACCGCATCACTAAGATGCGGTTTGAGTAGGTCAGGCCTAAACCGCACCTCGGCCATGCGTTTTATGTAGGCCAGACATGAAAACGCATGGCCAAGGTGCGTTTTAGGCCCACCAGAATAGAACGCACCCTCCAGGTGCGGTTTACGTATAAAACGCATCTGGAGGATGCGGTTTATTTGTAAAACGCACCACAAGGGTGCGGTCAATAAAAAAGGGTGCTAGTTTTGTAAATATTTTTGGGAGGGTGCTAGTTTTGTAATTTTTTTTTTAAAGGTGCTATTTCTGGAAAAAAGTCCACATATTATTGCTGTGGTTGCAGGGTCAAATAGTGTCACCGCTATCTTATTACATACACACATTTGATTACCAACTTTCCATAATCAGATCAGATAGATCTGGACACTTAACTTTAAATGGGGGCAAGAAGATCTAGATCTAACAATTAATAATTTTTTACTTTTTCACTTTTTAATGAATTTTATCTTTTTTCGTTCTGATTTTGATTTTAATATTTTCATATTAGAGTGAATTTGTTGTGGTTTATAAAAGAATATCAATTTTTACTATATTTCAAGAAAAAAATTAATAACACTTGTTACTACATTCGTTTTAACTTGAATTTTGAATTGTTTTGTAGAGAAGGAACAAGTTTATCGTGATCTATTGAATTTACAAATTTCTTTAAAAAAAAAAAACAAGACCAAAACACCATGATATAGGTGTTGTAACTGGAGGTAAACAATGATAATTGTAGTAAATAACAGTTTATATATTCCTACTTACACTTCCACGTGGTATTATCTTATGTAATACCAGACATTACCAGTTTATCATCATGGTATAGATTGGTAATAAATGTCTCAATTTTTTTTCATTCCAAAATATATCAAAGTGAATAAAATTTTGAAGAATAAAATTAATCTGATTTGTCTGTGAAAAATTAAATTACGACTTGAAAAAAAATGCCCTCAAAATTTATATGAAATAAAATCAGACATATTCCATAAAATGGTTGGGATTTCCTACAGTAACTTGGGTATAATTTCAAGTTAGGTAACTTGCATAGATCTAAACCGTTAAAATTGACCACACTTATTTTAAACCATTGATTAAAGAAATAAAAAATAAAAAAATAACTAAATAAATAAATGGCAACATGAGTTGCCGGTCATACATGTCCAAGTTACCTTTTTTTAATTTTTTCTTTCCTTTTTTTCACATTTAGTTGTCTTTCCATATTTTAATCTTTCCTTTTTTAATTCTTATTGAATTAGAATGGTTACGTAAGGCTTCCGTAATAACTTAGCTTTTTACGTAACACGACGTTAATACTCATTACGTAAAGAGACCTTCTATTACGTAAGGCTTCCGTAATGATATTTTACAACTGTTACGTAAAATACACATTCACTACATAAAGGTTACGGAATGATAGTTATTTCTTACGTAATAGTTAAATCGGAAGTGTTACGTAAGGCTTCCGTAATGACTTAACACTTTACGTAACGCAAGGTTAATACTCATTACGTAAAAAGACCTTCCATTACGTAAAGGTTACGAAACGACATTTATTTCTTACGTAACCGTTAATTCAGTAGCGTTACGTAAGACTTCCGTAATGACTTTGCATTTTACGTAACGCGAGGTTAATACTCATTACGTAAGGACACATTCTATTACGTAAGGCTTCCGTAATGACCTTTTACAACTGTTACGTAAGATTATCAAATGTTACGTAACCATTACGTAATGCCTATTGTGTTTTACGTAATACGACCTGTGAAACCTGCTATAGCAGGTAAAAAAATTAAAGTTACCTTACTTCAAGTTACCATAGGAAATCCCTAAAATGGTTATGTGCATCATGGTCGATTGGAACCGTTCCCCATTAGTTAGTATATATATGAGCAGAAGCTGAAGAAGAAAGGGTACCAAAGAAGAATCAATTGCCAGACAAAATATGGCTGCTCAAGGTGCAAGGATTTTCTTCTCTGCTCAGAATCAACCAGCAAGGAATCGATTATCTCCTGCACGCCACTACCTCCTGAAATGCAGTACAAGACTCGCCGCCGCCTGCAGGCAGCATACCAGCACCGGCACGGCGGAACCGCCGACAGTTATCCAACGGCGATCCGGAAATTACGGTCCAAACATCTGGGAGTCCCATCAACGTTCCAAGCCACAGCACCCGGATGACAACACTCAAGTAATGTGTACATATATATAATACCACCTTAATATATTTTCATAATTCGACCGGTCAATATTTAATTTTACGAGAAGAAATTATCCAAAAATGTCACTTGTGTACGTGTAAATATACAACTAACTTCAAGCTATTTTCATAAACTGAGCAATTGATTATTGATACAGGGCCGTTGGAGAGAGCGAGTGGAGGAGCTGAAGAAGTATGTGAGACGGAATTTGTTAAGTGATGATCATATCGGAGAAGGCGGCGGCGAGGAAGCAACGGTGGCCGATGAGAGGGTGGAGATGATTGACACGTTGCAGCGGCTGGGAATCGGTTACCATTTCGAGCCGGAGATTCAGAATGCTCTGAGGACTGTGGAGGCGGCGGCCATAAGTGGAAACAACCTCCACACATGTGCCCTCCGATTCAGACTACTCCGACAGGCTGGAATCTGGGTATCTCCAGGTATATAATATGAGGAATTTTATAATGCTTTAATTTTTAAATTATAAGTAGCTTAGTTAATTTTCTCATTTATAGTAAAACTCGAAGTTGTACTTTTAATGTTATGGTACAATTTTAAGTTATACCTATGTTTTTTCTTATTAATTCATTTATGTTTTTCTATTATTTCATTTATGGTATAACTTGAAATTGTACCATAACATAAAGATACAAATTCCACTACGGTACAACTTAAACGTGTACATTTAACATTATGTTACAACTTTAAATTGTACTTTAAATCACCAAATACTTTAAAAAATAGTAGAAGTGCTGGCACAAACATAATCTATTTTTATATATAGTATAATTATTTTTGCGTTCAATAATTCTATTATGTATAATAGAGTTCAATCCACGAGACGCCAATTAAGTTCCTGTTAATTATATCGAGGCCAGGGGCGGACCTGTTTAGTGCCAAGGGTAGTCAGTTGACATACCTTGGCCAAAAAATTGAAACAAATTAGCACATTAAAATGTATATAGTTGTTAGTAGGATTTGAACCCTTGACAATTTGACAATCCTTACACCTAATAGAAGTTTCGTTGAACCACTATCCAATTGTAGTTATAGACATTATAAAAAAAAATATATAATGATCCAAATTAATTCCCGTCTAATCTACCGAATCCAAGTCCCATTAAGATTTGATTAAATCTCCTTCTCTTTTTTGGGAATGAAAACTCTACCCCAATGAAAAGACAACTCTCACAACATAAGTGACAAATATATTATATGAAAACACGTTGTGGTTCGATATGAGATACGATGAATCGATGTACTTTATGAATTAAACTTTTTAATTTTATTTTTAATTATTTATCTATTTTTGTGAATACCCTTAGACAAAATTTCTGGCTCCGCCACTTATCGATGCTACTTATTTTAGACATCCTATAACTTCATTAGTGGAAGATTATGGATATATATATTTTCTTCATTTTGAGTGTATGTGATATGTTCTAGTGTTATAAACTAGTCTCTCATAATAAAATTTTAATTACCAGCATCATTAAGTATGATGATCTAATCTAAAATTACAACTGATCCATGTAATTAATTTACTCATAAATTTATTTTTATTAAGGTCATTTTTTATGTTTCTATATGGATTTATATTACAATCAGTCAAAACTAAAAAGTTGGATTACAATAAAGATAGTTGGTCTGTCAAACCCGATTCTTATTTCACTTCATCTACTAGTTGTCCCAATTCTACCACCAGCACGAGTTCAGCGACGGTGGCGGAGGGGTGGGGGCGGGAATGATGGCGGCGGTGGCGACGGTGGAGGAGTATCCGATTAACAACAATAATTCATCGATGGTGTTTTCATGCTCATGGAACGAGCGGCCAAGCCAAGGGCTATCACTTTCTCTCTCCTCCACCCACCCTTCCTGTTCCACCATCGGCCTCCAGTCCTTCCACCTCATCCGCCACAACCACCAGAGACGATATTTGCCTCGTTGGGAACGTTGATGGAATAAGGTCTGAGGTTTGTTGGAGGGGATAAACAATTAGGGGGTTTTATTTTTTATTTTTTAATTTTTAATATTTGTGAAAAATAGGTGGAAATTATACAAAGATTAAATTTTTATTTTTTAATTGTCACGTCACACATTTAACGGTCAACTTTTAGAGTTGACCGCCACGTAAGCAAAAGTTAACGGAGTTGAACGGAGAGTGACCAAACATGAACGGTTTCAGTAAACTGAAGTACCACCAATGGATTTAAATATTTCGAGTGACCAAACTTGAATGTTTTTTGTAATCTCAGTGACCAACCATGCAATTAACCCATTTAAAAATTTTAAATTACTTGAAATGCTGAATTTCGTATGACATTTAGGTGACATAAAAATTACTTTTCCATTTTCGGAATTATTATAACTTTTCATCAATGATGAACATTGTAAACTTAATTGCTATAACCAAAGTTGTCAAACTGGTTCAAGTTGTTGAGCCGGTCAAACAAATAGTTTGAAGTTTAATGGTTTGATTGAGGTCCAACTTGTTTGAGCCGTTTTACACATTTTCTAAATATATATACATATAAGATAGAAATTTAGTGACTAAAATGGAATGTAATAACTTATATTTATTAAAAACACAAATTCCATAAGAAAACATATTTATTTCAAGATCCACCGACCATCCTCTTGCCTCTCTCCCCCTCCCCTTCCCTCTCTCTTCTTCTCCCTCTCTAACGATCAGACACTTGGTTTTGTAGAGGCGGTTTTGGAACACGACTTTGGTCAGACCTAGTCCAACCGGCCGCTCGGTAGAGGTGTAACAACCTTGGTTTTAACACTCGTTAATAACCATTCATAACTTGTCAATTTAATGATGTAGTCACTCTGAAAAGAAAATTGACATAACAAAAACAGAGTTTGTCTAACATAAATAGGAAACTCGTGATCATAACCTTTATTCAATATTTATTTCTTATGCTTGAGAAACAATACATATATAATAGTATCTTAACCTTAAAGTATTTCGCACAATACAATAACAAAATTAGTAAGAAAATAACATTTTTCATCCATATCTATGCAATGAAAAAATTATTTATCAACCAACATACTCTAAATTTAGTTGAAATATAATCTATTTGCCAACACTTTTGACAATATCTTGTAGAGGACTTTGCCGAGGCTTATGGATCTGAACACCTTCGAGGTAGTGTAATCTTTGTTTTGGTTATTAAAGCTAGCAAGGTCTGGTTTAGTATCTTGGGAATGACACCTATTGTGAGCATGGATTGCTAGAAAATCAAAAGTGGATATCATTTTGAGGAGCACGATTAATATGATCTCTCTGTACAAAAAATTTGAATTACGAGTTAAAATAAAAGAGACATTGCTCATTAATTTTAGTTGGAAAAAATTGGGTTATAGGTATAATATGCTCCTCTACTATGTAGTTTTATCAAACATTCCCCTTTATTATTTTTTACATCAAATATGCCCTTGTACTTTGGAAAAATTATCAAACATGCCCTTCTATTAAAATTCCCATTAAAAAAATCGTCAGCCATGGTTGAACCGAGATGTAGACGTCCCGACATCGGCAAATGAGAAGAAAAATGTCAGTTTTGTCCCCCGTTTTATTTTTCTAGGTCTCATTAAAGTGAAATTATTAGAGGTATTTGGCTCTACAAAAGAACCCAAAAAATTCTAAAGTGAAATTACCAGAGATATTTTAGACATTTGTGTCGCCCAAACCAAGGTACGACCGTGGTTGGCTGTTTTTGGATGAAAATATTAACAGAAGGGCAAGTTTGATCATTTTTCTTAAGTACAGGAGCATGTTTGATGTAAAAAATAGTAGAGGGACAAATGAGAAGAAAAATGTCAGTTTTGTCCCCCGTTTTATTTTTCTAGGTCTCATTAAAGTGAAATTATTAGAGGTATTTGGCTCTACAAAAGAACCCAAAAAATTCTAAAGTGAAATTACCAGAGATATTTTAGACATTTGTGTCGCCCAAACCAAGGTACGACCGTGGTTGGCTGTTTTTGGATGAAAATATTAACAGAAGGGCAAGTTTGATCATTTTTCTTAAGTACAAGGGCATGTTTGATGTAAAAAATAGTAGAGGGACATGTTCGATAAAACGACATAGTAGAGGGGCATATTATACCTATAACCCAAAAAAATTATATATAGTTAGTAACCAACTAACCATCTGACCAACCTGATGATTACATAACAGACGGGAGCTCCAAATTCATAGCGATATAAATGGAAAGAAAAAAAAGTACCAACAATAAAAAATGAATCACCACTAAATCATTTATTTTTAGTAACTAGATATATTAAATGCATATCAATGACCTCTCTACGTATTCATGGTTAAAAATCACGCAAGCAGATGTCTTCAAGGGATTTAGAGACGAGGATGGAAAGTTCAAGCAAGAAATCACTAGCGACGTGAGAGGGTTGTTGAGCTTGTACGAGGCTTCGTATCTTGGCATTCCAGATGAGAATGTTCTTGACGAAGCCAAAATCTTTGCTAGGAGCCATCTTCATAAGCTTCTTTACAAGGCTGAAAGCACGACAATAACAAGTCACCAACTGTCCCGAGCCTTGGAGCTTCCCTCCCACTGGAGGATTCGACGGTCTGAGGCGAGGTGGCACATTGAACAATACAAAGACACTGAAGGGATGGATCCTGCAGTGCTTGAATTAGCCATGTTGGACTTCAACATGGTCCAGCTTGTCTACCAAACCGATCTGGAAGACCTTAACAGGTATGTATACAGTTAACTCGACAAACTTTTTAAGCATGTATAGGATAGGAGAGCTGTGAGTCTGAACCTTGATACCTACTAACTTGGTATGATTCGGGGCTTAGCTAGGCCTGGTCAATTTGTCTACACGATCAGTTAGGGTCGTGTTATTTTTTTGCCCTATTACTCGCGGAATCAATTTAGGTTAGGGCCGGATATGAAATTTCTCATATCGACACACAGGAACTATTTGTAAAGTATTTTTTAGGTAATATAATGTATGGTGAAAATATAAATATACTAAACCAAATTTTACCATCAAAATTTCTGGATCTTTTTATAAAAGATAAATTTGAGGTACTAAATTGTAAAAAAATAAATTTGAGTACCAAAGTATAATTTTTTTAAAAACAACGTATTTAGTGATGTGAGTCAACCCACCGGCACGGTCCGATTTGACCCGACCCTATCCGTACGGACCAGACAGGACGAAAAGAGAATAAGTTCTGACTGAACCGAGTTGGATAGTGACATACCAGTGTTGGGTTTGGGCGTTTGGCCTAGTTTCACGCTACTTAGATTGTATACACATGTGCCAGTATTGTAATGTTACATATACAAGTAACACATGTCACATGCAGGTGGTGGAAGGAGTTGGCTCTTACGGAGAAACTAGAATTCGCAAGAGATCGTCTGAACGAGAGCTTTCTGTGGGGGGTAAGTTTGATCCAGGAGCCTCAGTTTAGCTATTGCAGGAAGATTATGTCCAAGCTCGTATGTCTGATTAATGCCGTCGATGATGTGTATGATGTCTACGGTTCCCCAGATGAACTCCAACTCTTCACCGCCGCCATTCTAAGGTTGTTGTTATATATGTGAATATAATCGCCTAAATCTGAATATTCCCTATTTATTTGATTATGGGATTCTTAATTATCATTATTAATTAGCTTCATGATGATGAACACGATGATGTTGCGTCGCAACGGTTAAATCATGTATCAGGTGGGATGCAGAGGAGCTGGATGAGCTTCCAGAGTACATGAAAATATGCTTTATGGCAGTCTACAACACTGCCAATGAATTGGCCTACTACACCATTAAGCAGCAAGGCTTCAACTGCTTGCCTTACCTTAAACAAGCAGTACGTATAAGAACAATAAATACACTACTAATTAATTGATTATAGTATCTTCCAAACTTTGACTTCCATTCCTTCATGGTGATTACATTACACCATCGATCAATATAATCAAACCCCCCTTTTTTGGCTTTCAATCTAGTGGAAAGAACAATGTAGATTGTACCTCGAAGAAGCCAATACTTTCCACAACGTTGGATTCGACCAAACGTTTGAGGAGTATTTGGACCACGGCTGGAATACAGTAGCATCAAGCATTGTGTTGATCCACACCTATGCTGCATCGGGTGAGACTCTCACCAAAGAAGCTTTCGAGTACCTAACTAACTACCCGAAACTTACTCGTTGGGAAGCTACCGTTGCTCGTCTTACAAACGATCTAGCAACCTCTAAGGTACACTTCAACTGAAACCTGAACGAATACAATGTAGGGATTTCCTACAGTAACTTGGGTATAATTTCAAGTTAGGTAACTTGCATAGATCTAAACCGTTAAAATTGACCACACTTATTTTAAACCATTGATTAAAGAAATAAAAAATAAAAAAATAACTAAATAAATAAATGGCAACATGAGTTGCCGGTCATACATGTCCAAGTTACCTTTTTTTAATTTTTTCTTTCCTTTTTTTCACATTTAGTTGTCTTTCCATATTTTAATCTTTCCTTTTTTAATTCTTATTGAATTAGAATGGTTACGTAAGGCTTCCGTAATAACTTAGCTTTTTACGTAACACGACGTTAATACTCATTACGTAAAGAGACCTTCTATTACGTAAGGCTTCCGTAATGATATTTTACAACTGTTACGTAAAATACACATTCACTACGTAAAGGTTACGGAATGATAGTTATTTCTTACGTAATAGTTAAATCGGAAGTGTTACGTAAGGCTTCCGTAATGACTTAACACTTTACGTAACGCAAGGTTAATACTCATTACGTAAAAAGACCTTACATTACGTAAAGGTTACGAAACGACATTTATTTCTTACGTAACCGTTAATTCAGTAGCGTTACGTAAGACTTCCGTAATGACTTTGCATTTTACGTAACGCGAGGTTAATACTCATTACGTAAGGACACATTCTATTACGTAAGGCTTCCGTAATGACCTTTTACAACTGTTACGTAAGATTATCAAATGTTACGTAACCATTACGTAATGCCTATTGTGTTTTACGTAATACGACCTGTGAAACCTGCTATAGCAGGTAAAAAAATTAAAGTTACCTTACTTCAAGTTACCATAGGAAATCCCTACAATGTAACATACATACAAGAAAATGCCGGTGTTGACTATGTATGTATATGTCCATGCACACTACTGTTGCAGGCGGAACTAGAAAGAGGGGATATTCTCAAGTCGATAGAACGTTACATGAAGGAGAAAGGCGTTTCAGAAGAAGAAGCACGCAAGTACATTCAATGGCGAATCGGTGAAACGTGGAAGAGAATCAACGAAGAAGTTGTGAAAAACTCTGACCACCGCATGGGAATGTACGTGAATCTTGCAGTGAATCTGGCTCGAGGACATCATTTCATGTATCATAGTGGGGATGCAAATGGATTCCCTACCGAGAAAGACAAAGACCAAGCTATGAAATTGCTTTATCAGCCGTTATTAGTCCTTGCAATGGAGGATAGTACTACCTCAGAAAAGAATAACTTGAGTTATTGTCGATGAATCGAGACTCTCTAAATAAATACTTAAGCTTGATTAGGGGTCATTTGTAACTTATGTTTTGCATTATGTATGCATGGTTGTATTTTTTTTCCCCTGGTAATTGTTGTTGTCTCTTAATAAGCTCTCACTAGATTAATAATTCAAGCTTATAAAAAAATACAGTTCAATGTAGGGATGGCAATTTACCCACCCATGGGTATTTTTGCCCAAACCCAATTATACCCATTTATATGGGTTGGGTATGGATTTATTCTATATGGATTTGGGTAAGATTTGGGTAGGTGGAGTTGGGTTTGGATTTTATTTTTGGGTATGGATTGGGCTTGGGTACCCATCTCTTTGGACCTGCCTGTATATGTTTTTTTTATTAGGTGTTAAAATGTAAAGAGAAATTTTTAATGTATTAAAATGTAATTTTCCACATATGATGCTGGACCTATTTTTATCTTCTTAAAAACTTTAGGTACTAAAGTGTAACTTTGGCTGTCAGCGACAGCGACCATCGTGTTCCATTCCCGGCTTCCATATCTTCGTCGGCGGCGGCTTCGACGAACTTGCTGCCTCCGATCCGGGTTCGGACGCCGGTCGATTCGGATCTCCAGGGTTTCGGAGAAGGAGCTAGAGGCCCGGCGGTGGTGGTGATGGAGCCCGACGAGCCCCATCGGCGTTGTCAACGCCCACACCGCAGACCACGCCGGCGCTGCTCCTAAAGTTTTGGCGTACTCGGCGCAGACCACGCCGCACCTATTGACTCGCTATGACACAACTCCTAACAATGGCCAAGTGTAACCAATGAAAGGGACTGCAGTATAGTGGCTCAAGTAATAAATATCGAATCCACGGGTCTCTAGAGTTACTATTACTCAGCTTCAGTTCATTATCTAGCAAAACAGATTAAGATGAAAGAACTAAAACTACTCTAGCAAACTATAGTTAAAGTTAATCTAATTACAGGTTGGGAACTCACTTAGGTATGATTCCCCCTAGCCACTAGCCAGATTAACGATTGATGATCTCTAACCTGTTTCACTTTCATTCACAATGCGGAGAATCCTTAACTAGACCTTGAGTCTCGACTAAAGGAACAAGGCCCTCTTGAGTCAATTGCCTAGAGGGACGTATCCTTCTCTAGAACAACTGATCAAGGCGTTCTGAACTAGACTCCCTCTATCGAATGAGGTTCTCAATTGATACAAAGCAGTGAATCAACCCTCGACTAAAGCAATCGATCCACTACTATCAATCTATGGTGCTCTATTGACCTAATCAGGTATTCGCTCTCATAGGATCAAAGCAGAATCAATAATCTCGACTAAAGCAGAATTGAATCGTGAAAACATGCATAGATTGAATATGAACTCAAGATTATCAAGTCAGAGTACTCATACAATCATCCAATCAAACAAACATGGCTAGGGTTCCTCAAAACCTAAGTGAAGGGAAGTTACTCCATAGAGAAGAGAGAGACTGCAGTAAGAATCTTATGATGATCAGTCTTCAAGTCCGGGCTTGTTCCTTGAGCTTCCAATGTGAAGAAATCCTCCAATTCCACTCCAAGAATGCCCTCAAATCGCCCCCTCTCTCTTTGGTTCGTCCCTTGGGTGTTTGGGATCCAAAACCCAGCTCTCCCTCTCCTTTGGCTCGAATTTGGGTTAAAAAACCCGATTCTGGGCAAAACACGGTCGAGGGCACGGCCGTGCTTTGCCTCAGCCCGCCCGTGTTTTCAGCTCGAGTTGGCCAAACTCAAATCAGCTCTCGGCAGTAAAAACACGGTCACAGAACACGGCCGTGTTCTGAAGGCCTACTGCCCGTGTTTTCACTGCCGAGCCTGTTCAATGCTTCGTTTCTCCCTCGTCCGGACTCCGAATCAGTCGCCGTTTGATCCCAGACGCTCGTAGTCTCGTCCTCTTTCATTTCATAACAAGCTTGCATGATTCTTTGTTCATGAAGTGAGGTATAAATCCATTCTTCTTCAGGTCATACCCGAGTTTCTTCTCCCGAATCGTCAATTGATCTCTGATTGACTTGAACTTTGCGCCTATGCTTCACTTTATGTGCTAGGACCTGAAATATGACAAAGGAACACAACCTAGCGTAAAATAGGCCAAAGATGTGATAATTAAAGCTCAAACGATCAAGAAACACAGGGGAAAACATGTGCAAATATCGAGTCATCAAATCCCCCCACACTTAACCGTTTGCTTGTCCCCAAGCAAACCTAACTCAAACCAATGCAGCTCTCCAGACCTCTATAGCAACAAACAACCCCGATCGTCGGTAGAGGATTTCCTAGATCATATAGCAGCTTACGAGGTCAACTGGTCTTCTAAGACGTTCCCTATCTCTCTCAATGCGAGTACAAGACTCAAGCCAGGATCATGAGAAGAAGTAGAAGTAAGACAGTCAGTTCATGGATAAAGGGACTCACACCATTCACAACCAAGGACTCGTTGTACCGGGGTGCTCTTTCATTTCATTTCACCGTTGGAACCCCTTTTTCACTTTCATTTTACTTACTTTTTTTTTTTCATTTTTATTCACTTAGCGGGGGTTCCAACTGCAGTCTTTTGCACGGTCGACCCTTATTAGTCGAGCAAGAGCAATTTCTGTACATCTGGCGCTCGCCAGAGTACTTCTTTTAACTCCTTTTCCTCAACTCGTGTGGAGGGTCAATGAAATTAAGGGGGGTCGGAAGCTCTATCCGTGCCCTTAAAAACACATCCTCGAGTAGGCAAACCGTTCAACGGGTGAAAATTTTACTTGTACTAGAGACAGCTTAGCTTCACCTTGTAGGAGTACCCCACTAAGGATCACTAAAATCTCTTCCAAAACCCGATTTTGTGCAATGAACGATGCCACACACGTTGGGCTTACCCCATGTTTAAGATTTCAATGATTTCGACATGGAGGACCAACTGCTTTCCATTTTCTATATGAGCACCCTGTTCGATACACGAGTCCAAAACACAATCCACATAGAGTCACCATCACCACATGAATTCAACGGTCCTAGCTCCACTAATTCACAAAATCAACTGGCACAGCAAAGAGCTAGATAGGAAAAATCTTATACTTCAACATCCTCCATAGTGCTACACTACCTCCCTAGGTTGCACATTACTATAGAGACTGTCAATTCAAAGCATACTGAGCAGGCAATTTGCAAGGAAACACGTACTTGGAGCCCTCAAATCGAAATTTGGGCAGTGGACTAGGCTCCAAGCACACAAACAGCCAACCATTGACACGCATACATAATCGAACATCCCCCCACACTTAAGCACGACATTGTCCTCAATGGAGGAAAGATAAGGAGGGTAGAACGAAGTTACCAGATCAAGGGTGAATGATGGTGGACGGGGCAGGCGATGTATTCCAGGAGGAGAGAGTAATCAGAACACAAACACCACACAAAATCTCACAAAGGTTGAGTTATTGACTCTAAAATCAAAGAACAAAACTGACTCAACCGAAGAGTAATAGAGAAAGAAATGCAAACCGACTGGTTGGGTTGCCTCCCAACAAGCGCTTCTTTCACGTCGTGAGCCGGACGATGGCTCCTAAGTTTCGGTCCACGCTAGAACCTCCTTGAAGTTGAGGTTCTCGTCGATGAGGTGGAGTCTCAAGTCACGAGCATGTGGTGTGGCAGGTGATGAAGGCTCGTGTACTTGATGCAGATGAAGTCTCCACCCTCGAGACCTCTTCTTCTCTTCTCTCGTCTCATTACCCCAAACCAGATAAGACAGCATCGATTGGCCACCATCGCGTCCACCAAGAGGGACCGATGTCGATGTGGCCTTGGTCTGGCAAAGAGACACTGCAAATGGGTCCTTGCCAAGCAGCTCCTCGAAGTTTGGTGGAGATATCACATGTATCTCATGGCCGGTGCAAGCCTCTTCCACCTCAACTTCGTCCTCGGCCTGGACGACAATTGCTCCTTCAACCTCCCTTCCTTCTTCATGTGGTATCACCCCTGGGAAATGATCAAGAACTCCTCCTGCTTCGCTTTCGTCATCCTCCACAACCTCTTTCTGCACCCTTTCTTGCTCTTCTTCTTCTAGCACGGATTGGAGAGCAAGTTGCCAAGCAATTTCTTTCATGAGATCTTCTTGCATCTCCTCACTCATGCCCACCTCTTCGAAGCTCAGTGTGGGATGTGGGAAAGGGTGGTCGGCTACGACAGGACATTCCTGATCATGATCATCACGGGAGCTCTCCGTGACAACTTCTGTGTGCTCCCTAATGTCCGTGTAGCCTTCTTCTTCCTCCTCCTCTTCTTGTATGGTAGCAGAAGGGTGATCTTGAGCAAGTTGTGCACAAACTTGCTCAACCCACTCTGTTTGCTTCGCTGAGCGTTGAACAGCCTCCTCCATATCACGGAGATATGAGGGATCGGAAGAGGGAAGGGCTTGGATTTGATGATCCATCCTGGAGCATATTCTCTCAGAGGCTCGAGTAAACTGCTCCAGGAGTAACTCCAGCTCCGATGGCCCTTCTGGTTGTGGGAGAAATTCTTCTTGATAATGAGGTTGTTCTTGATATGCCCAGGGGTCCGGTTGTTCTCCGTAGTAAGGGGGTTGGTACTGGAACCCGAATCCATAGTCTTCTCCTCCTTGATTGCTCCAGGGGGTCTCGGGGTAATACCACTCGGGTGGTGGTGGATACCCCCAATGATTGGAGAAGCCATGAGGATCCATGATTCAAATCTGCACTAACAAAAACAAAAACACCCAAGTGAAAAGCAAGGGTGGAAAAGAAAAGAAAGAAAAAAAAACTAAATTAACAAACTTCTGCCTTTCCTAATAATCTAGAAATTCCCCGGCAACGGCGCCAAAAACTTGACTCGCTATGACACAACTCCTAACAATGGCCAAGTGTAACCAATGAAAGGGACTGCAGTATAGTGGCTCAAGTAATAAATATCGAATCCACGGGTCTCTAGAGTTACTATTACTCAGCTTCAGTTCATTATCTAGCAAAACAGATTAAGATGAAAGAACTAAAACTACTCTAGCAAACTATAGTTAAAGTTAATCTAATTACAGGTTGGGAACTCACTTAGGTATGATTCCCCCTAGCCACTAGCCAGATTAACGATTGATGATCTCTAACCTGTTTCACTTTCATTCACAATGCGGAGAATCCTTAACTAGACCTTGAGTCTCGACTAAAGGAACAAGGCCCTCTTGAGTCAATTGCCTAGAGGGACGTATCCTTCTCTAGAACAACTGATCAAGGCGTTCTCAACTAGACTCCCTCTATCGAATGAGGTTCTCAATTGATACAAAGCAGTGAATCAACCCTCGACTAAAGCAATCGATCCACTACTATCAATCTATGGTGCTCTATTGACCTAATCAGGTATTCGCTCTCATAGGATCAAAGCAGAATCAATAATCTCGACTAAAGCAGAATTGAATCGTGAAAACATGCATAGATTGAATATGAACTCAAGATTATCAAGTCAGAGTACTCATACAATCATCCAATCAAACAAACATGGCTAGGGTTCCTCAAAACCTAAGTGAAGGGAAGTTACTCCATAGAGAAGAGAGAGACTGCAGTAAGAATCTTATGATGATCAGTCTTCAAGTCCGGGCTTGTTCCTTGAGCTTCCAATGTGAAGAAATCCTCCAATTCCACTCCAAGAATGCCCTCAAATCGCCCCCTCTCTCTTTGGTTCGTCCCTTGGGTGTTTGGGATCAAAAACCCAGCTCTCCCTCTCCTTTGGCTCGAATTTGGGTTAAAAAAACCCGATTCTGGGCAAAACACGGTCGAGGGCACGGCCGTGCTTTGCCTCAGCCCGCCCGTGTTTTCAGCTCGAGTTGGCCAAACTCAAATCAGCTCTCGGCAGTAAAAACACGGTCACAGAACACGGCCGTGTTCTGAAGGCCTACTGCCCGTGTTTTCACTGCCGAGCCTGTTCAATGCTTCGTTTCTCCCTCGTCCGGACTCCGAATCAGTCGCCGTTTGATCCCAGACGCTCGTAGTCTCGTCCTCTTTCATTTCATAACAAGCTTGCATGATTCTTTGTTCATGAAGTGAGGTATAAATCCATTCTTCTTCAGGTCATACCCGAGTTTCTTCTCCCGAATCGTCAATTGATCTCTGATTGACTTGAACTTTGCGCCTATGCTTCACTTTATGTGCTAGGACCTGAAATATGACAAAGGAACACAACCTAGCGTAAAATAGGCCAAAGATGTGATAATTAAAGCTCAAACGATCAAGAAACACAGGGGAAAACATGTGCAAATATCGAGTCATCACCTATCGTAAGCGTCGTTCAGAAGATCCCAATTCGATATCGTTCCGGCTACTGCCTCTTCCTCCGCCGACCGTCTCTGCAGCTCCTTCACCAGCGCCGCCTGCTTTAGCACCACCTCGTAGACCTTCTCTTCCGAAGATCTTGCCGGGCTCGCAGCAACGGCGGCGCTGCTCGAGTACACAGCAGACACCCCGCTATTCGAATTCATCGACGACGCAATTCTCGGCCTCTGGCTTGTAGCGCCTGCGCCGGCGCCCCTGGGCCTAGTTCCCAACTGGGAAGCGACGCCGCCGCCAGTTCCGGCTCTGGGTATGAGACCGAGTAGAGCGGAGGAACTGACGGCATTCTCTTTCGGACCAACAACCCAAAGCAGAACGCCGGCCGCCATCTCGAAGTAAGGAAGGAAGAAAACGAACACCTTTTTTGATGGTTTCATTCTTGTTTGGCCCCTGTACTTCATTCAACTCATTTGACCGTTGCTAACTCATGAATCATGATGAACACAGAAGGTATCAAGACAACATTATGGCCATGGATTTGTGTTCAATGTGATTGACACAAAGCTAGAGTGGAAGAAGAACCACCAAATTCAGTAACACAAACAGAAAGTTCAATGGGTTCTCCCAGCTCAAACACGGTTCGCGAATCATCACTATTCAACAAGTTGTCCACCAAACAGAGAAACAAAGTAGCTAGCTAAACATATCAGAACTAAACAAGAGCCCAGAAAAATCCTCCATACCTCAGAGAGAGCAGCGAGAAGGAGAATCCGATTGGACAGGGACTTAGATCCAGGCTTGGACAGCGAGAAGGAGAATCCGATTGACACAAAGCTAGAGTGGACGAAACAGCTGCTGCTAAGCTCACCAAGGCGAACGGTGGAGCGGCTATAGCGGGAGTCAACGGAATCCTATAGCGGGGCTCTGTAAATCCATGGAATGGAAGCCCTTTTCACAGAGGTACTACGATATACTAGATAAGAGGAACGAGAGGACTTTAAATCTCAATTACCAAAACCCAATTAGTCAATTACCTGGGAAGGGTTTGGGGGACGATGAATGGAGAACTCGAAGCGGCGGCGACGTCGGAGCTAGCGGCAGTGGCCGGGGCGGCGACGAAATCGGGGCAGCGATGCGATTCAGTGGTCGGAGCCGAGTTCGGAGGCGGGGCGGCGACGTCGAGCTGGTGGCCGGGGCGGCGACGTCGAGCTGGTGGCCGGGGCGGCGACGTCGAGCTGGTGGCCGGGGCGGCGACGTCGTGGCTCAGCCGGCTCGTCGTCGACGAAGATGGGTAGAGACTAGAGAGGAAGAGTCGTCGACTGTGCGAGAGGAAGATGGATGAGATGAGTCTTCGATTGTCTTTAATTTTTTTTTTAGTTTCGTTTTTTTTTTTTTTTTAATTATTTGGGTTTGGATTTTTTAACCCAAGTTCATGGGTAAAACCCAAGTAAACCCAACATAATGGGTATGGGTATTGACCCATCTAACTTTATCCATTTACACTTTAATTGGATTTCAGACCCAACCCAAATGGGTTGGATAGTTATAAACCCATGGGTATGGGTATAATTGCCAAGCCTAGTTCAATGTCATAATTAGTTTACACATTTACTACTACTACACTACTTAGTCTACTCCTTGTGCAAACAATGTACTACCAAAGCTCAATCTTGCTAACATACCAGCAAAATCAATACAACTTGCACAATAATTTGCTATATTAGTTCTGATTTGCAGCAATAAACTGGCTGATGATCTTCGTGTTGCTCGAAACACCCTATGACACCTCTCGTTATATACTACAGCCAAATACCAACACCATAAACTCCCTCCAATACAACCATCGGCCCGGCCCCCTTGTTGAACCCTCAAGCACTTCCAAAGAGAAAGGACATCGACAGAATTAATGGTCTCTAGTTTCATCTTCTCTACTGCAAAACAAACAAAAGTCGAGAGGCAATACATTTCCATATAAGAAATTTGTCTTTTGTAGTAACTAGTAAAATCTCGCTCGCTATCGCTTCGCGTATTAAAAAAATAAATATTTTAAAAAGGAATAGTTTTAATGTTGATCAAAAAGTGAAAGTAATCTTATTTCATTTTTAATCATTCTTTTCATTGGTTTGTTATTTACAATAGCATATGATAGAAGGATTGTCGAATAGATTATTTATGTTTAAACTTCTTGCATGACGCTATTGTTTCAATTTGTATGGCTAGTAGTTGATCCAGCTGTAACTTTTGCAGAATGAAGTAGCTTCTCTGGATCTTTTCAAGAAACATTAAAAAAAATGTTGAGTGTTTAGCTGAAAAACTATCATAATTACTTTCTAATATAAGAGGTAATATAAAATGACTAAAAAAGATTTATAAGATAAATATGAATACAAATTCCAAAAATAAAAAAGTATTTAAAATGGATCACGTTAGATTTATTTAATATTAAAAATACTATTTTTAATTTATTTTTTATAATGATATAAATAAATAAATAATTATGTTTTCTAGAAAAATAATAATTTATGTTTAGGAAAATTTTGTACTTTCAAATTGGAGTTTCTGCCTTAAAGTTACGAAAAACTTGAGTTTTTTAAAAAGTTGAACTTTATAGGTGTTTGGCTTGGTTTCAACTTTTGAACCATAAAACTTATAAAATTCGGGCTAAACACAGTCGTAAACTTTTGGCATTTTTTTTTGGGTTTGATGTAATCGTAGTTCTCCTTTATGAAATTTTTGGACTTATTGCAGATTTGAGAAGGTTCAACTCGCATTGATCGGATTAAATTAGGTTGGATACCCATGGATTTGGGTTCAATTGTCTTTCTAAAACAAAAGAAAAAGCAAAATGGAAAACACTAAAGCTAAAACTCGCTATTGAATCAAAACTCGTCAACACCAGGTTCAACTCACTTTGACCTAGTTGAACCGAGTTTTTGGAAAAATTCACACCTGACACAATCCGCCAATTACAAAAAAAAAAACTTGCTCCCGCCGAAAACCTTTAAAATCGGGTTCAAGTCACTTTGGTCGGGTCGAATTAGGTTGAATACCCATGCGTTTGGACTCAATTGCATTCTCAGCCAAAAGGAAAAAGAAAAAAGATAAAGAAAAATACTAAAACGGATAAAACTCGCTCATGACCCCAAACTTCCAACACTACATTCAACTCGCTTTGACCGAGTTGACCTAGTTTTAATAAATTCACAATTTACCCAACCTGTCAATTACCAAAGCGGGTAAAACTCGCTATTGATACGAACGCTTCAACAATGGGTCAGGGTTCAATTATCATTCTCAATGAAAAGAAAAATGAGAAATTAAAAAATATTAAAGCGGACAAAACGCGCTTTCGATTTAAAACTGATCAACAACGTGTTCAACTCGCTTTAACAATGTTTTAACAAATTAACACTTGGTCTAACCTGCCAACTACAAAAGCTAATAAAGCTCGCTCACAATACAACACTCATCAATACCTTAGATTCAGGTTCAGTTGTCTTCCCAACTAAAGTTATAAATGCTAAAGTTGAGAAATTTATAAATGCTAAAGTTGGTTTCAAGTCGCTTTGACAGTATAGAATTAGGTTGGATACCCATGGATTTGAGTTCAATTGTGCTCATGATCAATAAAAAGGAAAAAGTGAAAGAAAAAACACTAAAACATACAAAACACGATCCCGATACAAAACTCGCCAACATTGAGTAGATATGGTATGGATTTTCGGTAGCGACATTGGAAAACGGTGGAGGGGGACAACTTAGGATTTCGTGATAGTGTTTTGAGAAGGTTGTGAATTGGTGAGCGATGTCGAAGATTGGACAGAGCATATCCAGCATGGATATTTGGTCGCGGCCATGAAAAACGATGGAAGAGGACAACTCAAGATTCCACCGACAGTGTTTGGTGTTGGGTTGCGAAATGGTGCGAAAAGTGGATAGTTGTTTCATTAGGGAGCTGAAAACCTATTAGGCAATAATTGTTATGAGAAACACAATGGACAATAGATGTAAACCTGAACACCCGTGTGTTTGGGTTCAATTGTGATCATGCTTAACAAAAAGTAAAAGAAAAAAAATACTAAAGAGGATGATACTCGGTCCCGATACAAAACTCGTGGTAGCGGGCCTTGGGAAACGATAGTGGGTAACAATTAGGATTCCGCCGACAGTATTTCGAGAAGAAATACAAAATGGTGGACAAAGGCGATGATTTGTGTTCAAGTTAGGATACTCATGTGTTTGGGTTTAATTGTGATCATGCTCAACAAAAAGGAAAAAGAGAAAGAAAAAAACAATAAAGAGAATGAAACTCGGTCTCGATACAAAACTCGTGGTAGCGGCCTTGGGAAACAGTGGTGGGGAACAACTTAGGATTCCGCCAGACAATATTTGGAGATGAGCTTCAAAATGGTGGGCAAAGGCGATGATTTGTGCAAAAAGTCATATATAGACGAAAACCTAGCGAACAATAGCTAAACACAAAGGTGATGATCAGTGCAAAAAGTCATAGACGAAAAACCTAACCAACAATAACTAAACAAAAAGGTTGTAGAATGGAGAGTGGGGTAAAAGAATGACTTGGAACTTCCCCACTTGCACTTGGAGGAGTGTGAGAGCCACTAATGAATAGTAACTCAAACCTAGGATTTTATATATTAAACTAAACACAAAGTCGATGATCTATGCAAAACGTCATAGACGAAAAACCTAACGAACAATAACTAAACAGTAAACACAAAGGTCGTAGAATGGATAGTGGGGTAAAAGAATGACTTGGAACTTCCCCACTTGCAGTTGAAGGAGTGTGAGAGCCACAAGTAATAGTAACTAAAAACTAGACTTTTATATATTAATTCGATTATGGATAATCAATCAAATAAAGCAGCGATGTCTAGGCAAGACAAAATTTCCCCATAAAACCTTGTACCAGTGCAACTTATCCCTCTTAGACCTAATTAGAGGTGACAATTCTCAATCCAATCCACCAACCCATTAAAAATATCAACTTAATCCAATCCGTTTAAATCCAATCCATTTGATCCAAATCCAATTGGATTGGTGGATTCATGGATTGATCCATGGATTCAAATGAGAAATTACGGTTTGGTACCTTTACTTTTTATATTTTATATTTTGGTGCCCAAAATTTAATTTTTATACGAAAAATATCTTTGGAAAATTACGTTTTGGTACCTAAAATTTTTCATTATGACATTTAGTAATTAAACTTTTCACATTTTACATATCGGTCCTTGGATGAGGATGTCATTTGGATTCATGGATAATCCACCAATCCATTGTATCCAATCCATTTGATCCATGGATCCACCAATCCAATCCACAAATCCATGTATCAATCTATTTGCCTCCTCTACGCCTAATCGGTTCCCATATGACTTCAACCGCGAATTTTTCATGCACTCTGCCTTCCCAGGTAACCTGAAATTTAGAATCACTTCAAAGCCTAAACTGGAACCATGATTTGACCCTCAAGATCTTCCTCCAATGCCAAGTACGAATGTGTTTCTCTCAAATCCCAGAATGTTTTGTATTTAATTTTGTATCTGTAAACCCATGCCATCCAGAATGAGTCACTTCTAACTAACGACAGTCGTACTATTTCTTGTTGCACATGCAACATTCCGTATTGCCATGTCTTTGAAGCCCAACCCTCCTTGTTTAGGTTGTGCACTTGTGCTACCATTTTTCATCTTATTTTAACTTTTCCAGTGTCCTCCTTGTGACATAGAAAGCCAGAACAAATTTTTTCTATCTACTTGATAGCATTTTTTGAAAGCAAGAAAACTATATAGGATAGGATAGTTTAGCAACTCTCCATGATCTCAGTCTACTAGTTAATCTATCCACTTATAGATTGCATTCAATACTAGATAGCTTACTACACTACAAAGGTAGTCCAAATATTTAATAGGCAATAACCCTTCTCTGAAACCATATTGAGACAATGCTAACTTCTTATTCAGATTAGAGACCTCCCAAAAGAGACTTCACACTTTAGCCCATATAGTGTATAAAACTAATCAAGCACCCTCCAAAGCAAAGGTCGACCCCTAACTAAAAGTCAATAAGTCATAAGAAAAACACAAATGTGGTAGACCTATTGATTTGCACCAAGGGTGGAAAGTGAGAAATCAAATTTTAGCAGCTCTGCTTAACAGTTGGGTCAATACCTCCATGGCCGTGTTTGAGAGATTTCATTGAATTGGATGATTGAAAGAATACCTCTCCTTCGACTATATTATACCACTCATTCCAATACGAGTATCATTTAGTTATGAATAATAAAAATGTTGTAACGTATAATTGGTAATCGATGATTCAAGAAAGTAAAGAACACGTAAATTCACATTGTTTGCTGACATATTGTGTGTTGGCAAATCCACGAACATGAGAGCTAAGTTTCATTATACTTAAGGAGATACACATTATAGAGAGATTAAGAAGGTATATAGCACCTTCTCAAAACAGTTTAGCCCTAATCCAACCTGGCAACGAAACCCTCATGACTTCAATCGATGGTAGATAATCTAACTTCTACTCATAGGGAAAAAAAAGTTTTCTTCCATTTTACTTAAGGGATTTAGTAGACTACAGGATGATGCATCCTCAATTAGGTATGGCAATTTACCCACCCATGGGTATTTTTGCCCAAACCCAATTATATCCATTTTATATGGGTTGGGTATGGATTTATTCTATATGGATTTGGATAATGTTTGGGTAGGTGGAGTTGGGTTTGGATTTTATTTTTGGGTATGGGTTGGGCTTGGGTACCCATCTCCTTGGACCCACCTGTATATGTTTTTTTTATTAGGTGTTAAAATGTAAAGCAAAATTTTTAATGTACTAAAATATAATTTTCCACATATGATGTTGAACTTATTTGTATCTTCTTAAAAACTTCAGGTACTAAAATGTAACTTTGGCTGTCAACATTCAACAACCATCGTGTTCCAGCTGCTTCGCCGGTGACGAACGCCGGTGCCGAATGCTTCCGACTGACAGGCGAGGATGATGAATGATGATGCCGGACGCCGGTGCTCTCCGGGAAAAGCTGGTGGGTGGTGGCGATTTCACCATCGAGCTCGCTACCCAAATCCATCATCGCCGTGCAGCAGAGCATGTCGACGACGAACCCGGCGAGTCGTGCGACGTCAGATCCGACTAATTCCTTGATGTGGCGCTTCGAGCCCTCGAGGATGGTGGGCAGGAATCAGGCTGGATCGGTGTCCGGCGGCGGTTTCACGACGGGGAGGATGACGAATCGGACTCGAGAGTCGGCGGCGCCGGCGGCGGTGAGATTGGTGTTGTTGCCGGATGTCACTACGAGGAACTTTGCGTCTGGGATTATATGTCTGTACAACACCCAATGCCACCCACTGCGGCTTATTGCCCTCTCCACTTCCACGGCGACAGACGGTTTCCTCTGTTGGGCGGCGGCGGCGGCCATTAGTGGGAGGGTGGCGCAGAGGAGCAGGAGAAGCAGATTGTGGGGATGTGGCTGTGCTTGGCTGACGATTAACCAGCATGTTCTGCAAGCGATTCGCAGAGCTAGAGCGAAGACTCTGGGATTTAGCGATGAATCGAGGAGTAATTATGCCGAGATGGATCATGTGAGGGAGGAATTGGAATATGCTGGCAGGGTTTTTGCTCAGAATCCTGCTTGGCCAGTGATTGGTAAATTTAGATAATCTGATTTGGGGAACTTTAGTGTAATATGTTACTGTTTGGTTGTTCATCTTCTGATAATATGGTCTTGATTTGAAAATGCAGAATTGACAGAGAGGGCAATTGAAGAAACTGCTGCTGTTGTTTTGAGGCTCTACCATGACAGAAAGAACAAATGCTTGATGCCGAGGATTTCCAAGCAGATTGTGGGTTCAGAGTTTGGTCACTTCCTTGTTCATACAATGTTTACTTTCCAATCAGAAATCCAACACTACAAGTTTTTACAGTACCAAACAGCCTAGGCTCTGATTGACCATAAACTTGTTCTTCATGAATCCACCGTCCCTTGATATTCAGAATCGTGCAAGGCCAAATAGTCTGCGCCACCAAAACACAGAGCCCTCAGGAAGTGCATACAACTGAGAATTGGTCAATCCATCCTTCCCTTCAATGTGCATTCTTTTACTTCAGTTGGAGTGCTGCAAACCCAGAAGAACCAAAGTATTCACACAACTCAATCAGTTGGCCACAGACAGTAATAGAACATGTTATCAACCATCAAAACAAGTGACCAAAAGACAAGGAATCTACCCTTCCAACAACAACAACAATAGCAACCCACAGATCACCCTTACTCTCTCAGTCCTCATATTCCATAACTTGTTCATCATCACCGCCATCATTCTCACAGAATATGGTTTGAGTCGAACCATCAACGTCTGAAGAGAAGATGGTCACACCTGCAAAATGACAGCCAACATCACCCATTAAATGGACGGTATGAATGATGATGATGAAGAAGAAGAAGGATGTAATGACTACTTTCCACAAAAACAAAGGTGTGTTAGCTTTAGAGACAGCAAGTAAGGCTGTGTTGATACATTACTGGGTAATTTATAGTACTGGTGCAGAAGAAGCAGCCTGTGGATGAGATTAATGGGTGAAAGTAGAAGGGAATTAACGCTGCTGCTGCTGCAGTTGCAAAAAAGTTAACGTCCAGCCCACATTTTGACAAGAAAAGAAAAGGCAGCATCTAATAGAATTAAAAAGAAAGGAGAGAACATAATGTTTCCAGTAATTCAAATTAGCAGCAGAATGAGCAGTGGCAGAGCCCAGTGCTGAATTAAGCTTCTCTGTAACACTTTCAGACACACAAAAATTATAGGATAGCACTATCACCGAGTAAGTCTAATATATGGCATCAGCTAATTGAAACACTAATGCTCCTGCTGAAATCACATTGACTGCCACAAGCAAGTAGAGGATCATACTAACCTACCAACTGCCAAATGCTAAACCCTCTCATCAGTCAGCAATAGTTTATCTCAAGAAAAGTCAGGGTCGCTGTTATCTTGCTATATGCAACAAGAAGGTATGCACTCAACCACAACATACACAGAAGGTAAATAATGAATAACTGCAACAACAAGTTGTTTCTTACCATGAAGTTCATTCCTAAGCCAGTTCTGGGTGCACATAAGAGCCTCCACAGTCGTGTCACAGTCGTGTCATCCCCGGATCTTCGGAATCCGACCGATTTAGAGGGATAGGAGGAGCTGGCGTCTGGCGAGTCGCGAAGCCGTCGGCGGTATTGAGGAAGCCGACGATGGTTGCTCCCCGGAAGAGCCGACGATGGAAGCCGACGAAGGGTCGACGGCGGTCTGACGTCTCGAGATCGAGAGTGATAGGATAGGAAGAGCCGAAGAGCTGATCGAGTGACCGTGGGTTTTTTCTTGTCGTTTAATTACTTGGGTTTGGGTTTTTTAACCCAAATCCATGGGTAAAACCCAACTGGACCCAACATTATGAGTATGGGTGTTGACCCATTAGACTTTACCCATTTAAAGTTGACTTGGATTTCAAACCTGACCCACATGGGTTGGATATTTAAAACCCAATGGGCATGGGTAATTCTGCCATCCCTATCCTCAATCCCTAACCCTGTGTTTCGGAAGGGAGGAAAGTGGGAGGAAGGGAAAAAGGCAAGGGGAAACACAAGTCCTGAGGCATTTTCTTCCGTTTCCGAAACTTGCTACAGAATGGAAGGAAAGAAACTAGGAAGGAAAATCTACTGTAGTGCGTGACCCTCCGATTTGGAGAGAAAATAACTCTCCGCGTTGCTAGCCTTCCCTTTTTTTTTCCCGCGTTGCTAGCCTTCCCATTTTCAATCACAGCTCAAGACTTTTTTCCGTTTTCATTGTTTATTAACTTCATTCATTTGTTATTTTCTTTTCTGCTTTACGAAGATATGGGAAGTTAATACTTCCATCCTTTATCATCATTTCTCAATTATAAATATATTATTTTTACTCAATCAAAACATATTTATTATTATGAGAATTTATGGCTTATAGGCTTATAGCAGTAACAGGTTGAGTGGATTACCGTTCTTGAACAATTTAAATATAACTAATTAGTAATTTGTCATGTCTTTGGTATCCTTTTATTCGGGAAAAAAAAATCTTCTTTTATATGTGAGTGATACAGATTTTTTTTGTGATTTAGGTATTAGTAAAAAGATTCAAACTTGGAACCTCCAAGTTCAAAACTAGTGGTATAAAATATTTATTATTTAATTATTAAAGAATTACTTTAAATTTTAAATATTATTACTACGTGACGTGACACTACGTATCGCACACGTGCACACCACATAGGAGTCGTTATACCAGTTTGACAAGTGATAATATCATGTGTTTCGACCGGTAATATGTGTCATTTCAAGCAACAAAAAATAATTAGTGAGAAAGTACAAATTTAATTCACAATTCATAACCAATGAAAATTTATCAACATATAATCAAATTATTATACTATTATATACCCAAATTTATCAACAATCACCATACAAAATAATATTGAATCAAATGTTTAAAAACATCATATTCCAAAACCCATAAATAACGAAAAGAATTAGTACAACATTGTTTTTACGCGTAACGTTGTTTTTACACGATACGTGAAATTTATAGCAAGAATGCAAGATGTTTATCTACTTATTGGATATTTAGACCGGATCGAACCGAACCAAACAGGTGATTTAGACTGCATGAGTCACACAAAACGTTGTTTTACACAACTACGTGTAACGTAAATGTGTGTTAAGTTTCAAGTAAAACGACATAAGAGTGTTACATTTTTTATAAAATGGACGTCATCTTGTACTACAAAGGTAATCAAATTTGTATGAAAAAATAAAAACGAGTTAAATGAACAATATATGTTCCGTTAACAAATAATAAAAATGATCATTTTTATGTAAAAATTGGTTATTCATAATATTCATATTCGCATTTTTTGCATATACTTACTATTACATAATCAATAAAATAATATATCTATCACACTTCCCTATATACTTTTTCCCTCCCTCTATCCCTTTCACTTTCCCCCATAAAACAACATTTTCTCTCCAATACCCTTCCCTTCCAATTTCCCCTCCCCTCCAAATTGTCCCTCCCCTCCCCTCCTTTTCCTTCCCTACTTCGGAAACAGGGGGTAACTAACCCTTTTTCCCCTGTCTCTCCGTTCACTTCCTCTTTTCTGACCTATTTCCTCTGTTCCAGGCGTCGACACGGATCAAGAAAAAGGAAGTGAAGGATTTGGTTCGAAATGTGTGAAACTGTGAAAGAGTGCAGGTTTGGTGGGAGAACGTGTTTTCCCCTGCAAAACTTTGGAAATATAGATGGGATTTTTGGGTTTCACGAAAATAGAGCCACAAAAAAGCCTAATATAAAACTAGCTTTGAGCCCGGCCCATTGGCTGGATAAATTCACATATTATATTGTAAATTAAGAATTTCATAAATTTTTTCAAGTAATATATATTTTTAATTTTTTATGTTTTAGTAATTTATTTTGAAAAATATATTTGTAGTCGCTTGAGATAGGCTTATGAGATCATAATTCAATAAAGCATGACTTACTAATAATAATCGACATTGTAGCTATGATTTTCATCCATTGAGTTAAATGATACATATTTCTAAGTAATTCAATTACTATTAACAATTATTGGCCTACAACGAATACTATCATATGCACATATAAAAAAACATCTACTAATATCTATCACATACACATATAATGGTTCAATTTTGCCTAATTTTAACTCATGCCCTCCAAGAAGATTTAAAAAGTCTCGTTGTACGATTTCATGCTTCGATTTACCAATTAAAACACTCAAATTTATCATAGTTTGCATGATACATGAATCAATTATTAATATCAAATTCTATTAAGTTTCAATAACATATCGCAAGTGGGATGTATATTGGATTATTGGTTATAAAACTCTCATGGAATATTATTCATGATTGGTGCAATAAACCAAAATAATACGTTTATCTTAGGATCTCTATAAAAATTTAATCCTGGTAATTATCTATTACGATATGTAATTTAAATTTAAAAGATAAAGGGTTTCATCAAAGGGCAGAGTTTCGGCTTATGCAACAGTCGGTTATTCCCCATACCGTAGCACATCATGTCTATGTTGTCGTAATCTCCATCTCCATTGTTAGATTCTATCTGTCTGCATACACAATTCCTTCTTCCTCTGCTTCTGACAACACTTCGTCGGGATTCATCATCTATATGTCGCGTCATTTCAACCATCCGCTTGGATATGAGTCGTCATATATATCTATGTAGCGGTCGTTCCGTCCGCCGCTGTTATGGCCGCCAACCGTCCCTTCGATGGCAAAAAATTTGCACTCCTCTACAGAAAGTAAACATAAAAGTTGTAGCAAATATCAACATTTTTTTATAGAAATATCAACATTCAACAATGATGTTGCGAATATTAATGAACTTTAGAAAAATAAAATTGCTCTTCATCAATCTCGACTCCAATAACGTCTATACTTCCTTACTAAAAGTTGAAACGAAGGACGCTATTTAATTTGTCCTTGATGCGCCAACGCGTTCTCATAAATACTCTTCCTATCCACATAATTGCGGTTATTGAGCCAATTCCTTTGTTGTTTTTTGGTAGCTTGTCAAATATTTTGAACAAAGATTACCACAAAGGCTAATCAATTCCAAAGCAAGATGATCACAATTCCGAGCATAGGCTGGAAAAGTAAACTTATGAGAACAAAATGGGCAATGGAAAGTGCAGTTACTTCGTCGACAGATATTGTCATCGCTAATGTCCCAAAAAAAAAAACTACACTTTTTGCAACGGGAATTATCTTGTTTGGGGTTGAATGTGAGAATTGGAGAGAGTAAGTGGTTGCCGCCTTGTTGAGTGGGATTACAAATCGTTACCTCAACCAAAGCCCTGTATGAACAGAGAGAGTAGGCTTTTCTGGTCATAGCAGCTTCCCAGAAATGGCACATCCACCAACTTGATATAAACAATGTTTTTTTGCATGGGGATTTGGAAGAGGATGTCAACATGAAACTTCTCATTTCATTGGTTTGGCAGCTTATATAGCTGGATCAAAGTAGCACTACAAGACAACCTTGCTTCAGAAGCAAGTACAGAAAATAAACGGAAAACTGTGTTAAAACATAATGTTTGGACTGAAAGTGGAAAATGGCAACATGGTCTTGGTACGCTGCCGTTCCATTTTGTTCTTTCAGTCGCACCAGATGCGTTGTCTTTTTCATGGGGACTTCATGTCGTGCCAGAAACGACGTCACTCCTGCTTGTCTCTTTATGTTCAGAACGCGGGAAATTCAATTGTTTTGAATTTTCCCCTGATATTGCCGCCTCTCTTAGCTCCGGCACAACTCAACCCGCCGCTCTGATCACTTCTGTAGGTTACCAACTGTTGGGGGTAGTTCGACGGAGAAAAACCTACGATGTGGCAAGGAGTCGGGTGCGTGTGAAAAGCCCCAGAGTGGGTCTTAAGAGAAGGGGCCTAAAGGAGAGTTGGGCCCAGAGGGAGTCTTACAAGGAGGGCCTGAAGAAGAGTTGAGCCCATTTAAGAAGGCCCGGG